ACTTCAGGATAAAATCCTTTTTGGATGTTTGTGATGATAAATTTATTTTTTTGAAGAAACTGGTATAATCTATTTTTTATAAATGTAGCTAGGACTTTATATAAAACGGGTTGTAGCGTTATGGGCCTAAAATTTCCCGGGTCGCTGGCTTCACCCTTTTTATAAATCAAGATAGTTAGGCCCTTTCTCCAGCAACTTGAAATCGTAGATAAGGCCCAACATTTTGAGAGTAGTCTAGGGACATCTTTTGAACATTATCATCGATATCTGATCCACAGAGGGCATGGAGAGGCCCTGGATCGAATTTTGCGAATGATAGATGAAATCTCCTCATAAGTTGGCGGGTTAACATTACCACTGATGGACTGATAATAATAATAATAATAATTATAATAATAATGGGAACATCATTTTATTTTCATCATAAATCACACGTTAAAAAGAATTGTTAATGAATTAAAATTTAATAAAAGTAACATTGTTTCAAAATTAAAAGTTATAATAATAATAATAATAATAACAATAATAATAATGATAATAATAATAATAACAATAATAATAATAATAATAATATTAATAAACAAAAATAAAAATAATGATATAATTAATACACATACAAGAAACTCAAGACATGTCTTTTTTCGTTCTTAGCCGCAGATCACGTTCATTCTTCTTCAGTATATAATGTTGAAATATTGATTGATTTTGAATAAATTGCTTGAAACTGAAAATGTATATAATCTATTCAACAGGCAGATGTTATTATCGAGAATACAGTTTTTTGATATAAGCATTGTACATACAAATACAAAGATAGATAGATAGACAGACAGACAGACAGAAAGACAGATAGACAGACAGACAGACAGACAGGTAAATAGATAGATGAAAGTTAGCAGCGCCTCCCACACGGTTTTAGAAGATGTGATCTGTGTAATTGCTGGCATGTTGCCTGTTATGGAAGAGCAACAACACAGCGTGCATCTACTATTACAGTTGGGAGCCCCTAATAAATTTTCAAAAAAAAAACTTTTTTGGACATTAAAACAACATTAAAAAATTTTTTGAACTCGAAAAGCAGGTGGGACAAACCTATTACTACAGGTAATTGGGAGGTGGAAAACTGTCTAATACCTCAAATAAATGATTAGTTAAGCCCAAACCATGGTAAGGTTAACTGTCGAAGATGCTTTTGGGACTTGGATGTTTTCAACATATCTTCATCGTTTCGGGATTGATGTTTCTCGGAATGTCCATCCAGACCGGGAGTTAATACATTCACTCGAGTCCCATATATCCGGGGAATGTTCTCTGGAATACATAAAATATTTTCCTACCTACCTACATACATACATACATACATACATACATACATACATACATACATACATACATACATACATACATACATACATACATACATACATACATACATACATACATACATACATACATACATACATACATACATACATACATACATACATACATACATACATACATACATACATACATACATACATACAAACATACATACATACATACATACATACATACAAACATACATACATACATACATACATACATACATACATACATACACACACATTC